TTATAGATATAAAAATATCCAATAAACATAATGTATTAGCAGTTAAACTATATAAAAAATAAAATATTTAGATAAGTATAAAATTTTGCATAAATCATTCTATATATATAATAACATTTGATAATTAATACCAATACTTTATATTTGTCCTATTTTATTCAATCAAACATAATAGTATAAACATTCATTAATTTAATATAATTTGAATTTTTTAATTAAGATTAATATAAGTTGATTCTTCTAAACTCTAATGATATCAATTGATCATGATATTATTTTATAAAATTATTTCAGATCGTGAAAATTCATTATTATATCAGATATGACATTAAATGGTATTAGCAATCAAAAATTAAAATGATTGGTACAGCCTGTAGTTTAGAAGATGCGTGTCGGCAGGCTCAGGTATTATCAATCTATCATTATTTTATTTAATGTTACTTTAATTATAATTTTTTATTTCATTTAGCTATGTCTTCATATTTTTATTCTTTACATAGGATATGATAAATCAAGTGTCCAAATGTTGGAAAAATGTTCAAGGACAAAATTCTGTAAGTTTAACTTGTGATAAATCGTCTATTCAAAAAAAAGAACAGAATCATTCTAAACACAGCATTCAGTCTAAATTGACTAGATTATATTTTGAAGAACTTACTAAAGTTCCTCATGCAACACCTGATTCTGTGTTGGTATGTGTATTTTTTGTAGAGATAATATTATTAATATTTTTATTATATATTTTTCAAGATATTTAATATATTAATAAATTAATTTATTAATAATACATTTATTTATATAGAATAATTTAGAAAATGAATGTGATCTTTTGGGAAGATTGGTACAGAGAGAAGGTTTACATACATTAATTGTTAATCTCTATGCTGGTAATAAAGGATACTCACTAGCTGTAAGAAATAGGTAAGTATGTTATATTTTTTATTAAATGTATACTAATATTTTTTACAATATTTTAATAAAACAGATTAATAATGTAAATTAATTAAGTAATTTTAATCTAATAGTGATAAGGGAAATCAGTATGATAAAAATTCAATATTAGCTGAAACACAACTGATGGGTTACGAACAGGGTGAATTACTTTCATGTATAGATAATGGTCAGTTGCCTGCAATGTTGGCAGAGCAATTAGAAACCAATCATTCTCATTTATTTTATGATGGCTGTATAATAGCTGAAGTTCGAGATTACCGAAAAGCATTTCCTCATACTAAAGCTGAAGTTCATCATGTGCTTCTTAAGCCTACAACACAAGTGAGAAATAAGAAGACATAGTATATTGATATTTTTACAAGTTACTGTTTTTCAAACTATAATTTTCAAGCCTCTGGTAATGTACAAGTTCTTTTTTTTAATAACATATTTACATAAAGTTTTTGTTAATAAAATATTTAAAAACATATTTATTAAATATTTTGTATTAAGCTTTAAAGTAACTAAAAGTTTTCTTATTGTCATGTTTATTTTGTAAATTTTATCCAACATCTTTTTCCTGTTAAAATGTTCTTAGAGAGATGCAGTTTGAGAAATAGCAAATATTAATATAAATAATAAAATAATATTTCTAAACAAAAATAAAAGTAAAAGAGTAAAATTAATTAGCATAATAATTTTTTATCTTTCACATCTTTTAGAGTGTACTGTCAGATGTATCAACCTTGACTAGTGATGGTGATTGGAGTCATGAAGAACGATTAATACTAGAATCACATTTACTTGCAGCTACCCAAGGACCTCTTTGTCTCGATCCAAATCCTATTCCTAGCTTAGCTACAACACGATTGAGGCAATCTAAATCTTTGCTTACTGATCATCAACTTATGCGACAAGCCAAAAAATTTTCACAGGTAATCAGTTGTGATAAATTAAATTTTAATTTAGATCTTTCTTTAAATTTAATATTTTCTTTTTAAATAACTTAAATCACATTTAATTATAAAATTTGAAATATGTTATTGTTTTGTTGTAGGTTACAGTTAATCGCAAAAGAAAATTGGAACAACTAGCACAACCAGAAGGGCTAACAATACAAGATTTAATGCAAAAATTAAGAGCCAAAAGGGGAGTAGTTACAACCACTGCCTGTCCGCCGCCTTCTCTTACAAATCCTCCTTTACTTCCACCAAATACACCTATTGATGTTTTAAGGTATTATGCGTTAATTCATTTTTTATTTTTATATATCATTAAGATATATATTAATGGAAAATTGTGCTTTATATTTAATTAGATTTGCAAAAGCATACGAACGCCCGCGAGAAACAAAAGACTGTTTGCCACACGTTATAGAGGAATATATATTAGAAACAGGAGGAAGTCAAGGTGAAATAGATCACATAAAGCTTTCAATTCTACAAAGACCTTCTAATTCTGAGTACCTGGGAGAGCTTTATATGGATAAAAACCATCGTGAAGGAGAGAAAAATGGTTCTGCATGCCGGTACATATTTTTTTGTATTCAACTTTAATCGTTTTTTTTTTTTTTTTCTTTTTTTTTTAAATCAAATTTTCTATTTTGTTTACATCATAAAACTTAATTAGAACAATAAATATTTGGAATCTTTTTATAGGTTTACTCTAGGTACAAGAGTTTTGGCAAATCATTACATCCAACAGTTTACAGAGA